CCTGGCCATTGTAGTATCCCTCCCAGGCACCGTCATCCCAGCACGTCTCACCTGGTATTGACGAGGTGCCGCTTTGGCTGCGTTGGTACCATCCTTCTTATGTCACACCTCTCACCTCTATCTTCTGGGAGCTTCACAGGCAAGTTAAGCGATTTAATCTGCACCATGACTAGGGGTCATGACTGTGCTGCATCACCAAGTGCGACCGAATCTACACCTGATGCTAAACTTGAAGCGCATCAACCCTGCACATAAAGGCGCGCGTTGCTCAGGGCGGTTTATCTCTACAGTAAGTACCTACTTGCACCCATGTTGCGTGAGTTGGGAGAGTTATCGCTGGGGTATAAATACATGTTTTGACTCGACCATAGGCAACATGCTCTCGATGAAGGCATTCAACCATGCGCTACGACGACCCTAAACCATCGACTCAAATTACACTCGAAATCCTGAACCTGAAACGTTAAACCCCAAACATCGAACGCTCCACCCTAAAACCTTAACCAGGGAACCATCCCACCAGCCGCCATGCCACTTGCCTGCCAGCACGTCACTACCAGCAGCAACCCTAACTAGGTTCGTGGTCCGGCTTTCGGGCTCAGGGTTTGGTTTCTAAGAGTGTCATGATGACGATTGGACTGATGTATTCCACGATAACCGCTATGTATCCACAGCAATATTAAACCCTACCCTTGTGACAACCCTAAACCCCACACGCGCAGCTCAAAAAAAAACTGCCCGAAGCTCCTTTCTCGGAGGGTCCGCGGCTGTTCTCACTAGATTTATTATATTGTCATTGGGTCCTGCTTGTCGTTCTCCTATTACCACTAATTACGTACAACGAAGGCGCCTTTCGCATAGTAGTTCCACCGGGTTCGGCGCTGGCCTTGGCAAAGCCAAGCCGTGTCAGCTCCCACGTCCCCTACACACAAGTGGGCGCTTTCCATGCCGTTTATCACTCCAGCATTGCTCATAGTGAACCTTTTGCACGTTGTGATGGCAACCTCCACACTCGGATCCATAAACCGGAACCTTATCTCAGCTCCGGGCGATGTCCTCCACCTGGCTTGACCTCCCAACCACGAAGAAATCACTCGGTTGAACCAGATACTCACTCCTGATTTCTTGCCTGACTCATGGAGCACGTTGACAAATCGACGTCCGCCCAGCGCATGCCAAAGGACCGATTCTGGTCCCAAATGGCTTGCCTGACACGCAGCGGCCGGACACAGCAAGCGCCAACCGAATCTCCTGCAGCCGAGCAGCAACTCGGCGGTCAGGTGGACGTGGCAGCTGTTGAGTTCCTCGATGTGCTCCTGTTGGGGGTTTCGCAGACTTAAATGGCCCTCCTTCAGGATCTCCGTACTGAGGGTCGTAGTCCTGGACCAAACTGTTTGTTCGGCCCATGTTTGGATATACATCTGAGAAACCGCTGGTGCTCAGAAGCTTGACTGGTTTCTGGCTTAGGGGGGGGAAAGGGTATGGTGCGACTTGCAGCTTCCAAGCCAAAGTTTCCCTCTGCAACAACGGGCAGAATTCCTGTGATTTGTACCGCCTCAGCGCAAGTGTTGCAAACAATCCGTCACTGACAGAGCAAGCCCCTTTCAAACTCCTGTGGATTCATGGCGTGTGTATCCTCCACGGTCACCTCCACTTCTCCCTGGCCTTCAGGAGCCTGTCGGGTTCGAGGTTTGGGCTGCGGATCAGACAAGCCTGGGAATGGATCGTCACATGTCCATGCCAGGTGTATTAAGCAGTCCTGCCGTGATGCTTCCAGTGCTTGACAAGTGGTTTTGATCGAAGCTGGCGAGCTCATCACGGATTGTATCATTGCAAGGCTTTGCAACTGGAACTGCAAAGGCGCGGAGACCCGGAATGCGCAAACCTCAAGGCACATTTAACTTAACACCAAAGACGGTCGTCCACGAGCCGAGCGATCCATGAACCGAACGCCAGATCCCGCGCAAACAGCACCGGCCTTGTCCGCGATGGCCTGTGCTTGATCGTAGGCCTCGAGGCAGAGCTTCTCTGACACCCTCTGGTGTGCGCGGGACGATGAAACAACGCTGTATTGCGGAAGTTGTGAAAATTCGGAGGTTGTCTGGCCCCAGCTCTCTCCAAGAAATCTACCCTCTTCGCTGTCGGCGCTTGGCAGCGGACGCTTTGTGCAGCATCAGACATTGCCTGCAAGCGCGGCTTTTCTCTGCCCTTCTGCTCACTCTCCTTCTATGCCTCTCTCGCACTCTCTGCAGGCGGACGGAAGCAGCCACTATTTGCAGCCAGTTCTTTCTGCTTACATCAGGCAGCAGTGCTATGCTAGCTGAGGGCCTCAAAGTGTTTCAAAGCCGGAGCTTGGAAACTTGCTAACTCGAACTCGGACCCATCCGGTGGGTGCGCTGGCGCCTTCACGAGCTTCTCGGCCTGACAACAATGCATGGGGCCGATTCGTCGCTGTGGCGCCTGCTATTTTTCGGCATTTTGCTGAGCCTGGTCATGAAGCGCCAGGGCTGGCACGGTCACTGAAGCGGGCGCTGGTGCCACGAGTGCCTCAGGAATGAGAATCCTGACTGGGGTGGTTCACCGGCTAAGGGCACAAAGGTATGTTAGGGTCATATTGAATGATCTGAGAGATGGAAGCCCAGCGCAGCTAGAGCTGAGTGAAGATGCATCAAGCCGGAGCTTGGATACCCGAAAGGCTTGAATAACTCGCTCCAACAGCAGCTGCAAGATCAAAGATGGCCATCCGGCCATCCACGAACCGAGCGCAAACCGCACCGGCCTTGTCCGCCGAGGATATTGCCTGATCGGAGGCCTCTAGTCACGGCTTCTGTCGCATGCTCTGGCTTCTTCTGTCCAACCCAGATCGCACTCAGTAGTAACCTAGCGGGCTTGTTATGGCCCGTTTGGATGGGGTGAGCTCGAGACGATGAAACAACGCTGTCTCGCACTGCGGAAGTTGTGAAAATTCGGAGGTTGTCTGGCCCCAGCTCTCTCCAAGAAATCTACCCTCTTCGCTGTGGCTTTGCTCTGCCCTCCTGCTCACTCTCCTTCTATGCCTCTCTCGCACTCTCTGCTGGCGGACGGATGCAGCCATTACTAGCTACTGCTCATGTGGCTGAGGATATCAAAGGCAGGCAGGAGCTGTATAGGAAATGTACTTACTGAAGAGTTCGATCTCAGACCGATCCGGTTCGCGGGCGCGACAGCAATGGACCTATAGCCCCAAAGTTTTGTCGCCGAGCCCAGTAATTAGTGGCTAAAAGACTCAGAATGGAGCTGGAATCTGCCGGTACAGCGGAGGTGGAAAGAGCGGCGCCTCGCATGGGCGGAAACTGCATGCAAAGCCACCTTCGGCCGTAAGGCCTAAACGGCCGTAAGGCCTAAACCCCCCAGCCCCTACACCCTAAATCCTGAACCCCAACAACTTAACCCCGGGCCCTGACCCCCCTACACCCTAAACACCTGAAGCCTGCTGGTGACTGCCTGGCGCTCTAAGGCTGCTGCATCGTGCTTCGAGCGCTCCTTCCAGACCGATGACATGCAAAGGCTCGCTGGGCGCAGGCTTTAGGGTTTAGGTTTTTGGGTTTTGAGACTGGGTTTGTGCGTTTTGCTACGAAGGCCAAATTGACTGCTGCGTTGCGGTCACGTCTACACCCTGTTTAGGGGTAGGAAGCAAGGAAAACTTAAACGAATTAGGGGGTTGGTTCTAGGAGACATGACCTCGGCTATACAGAAAGAGGATGGGTTTCACACCCGTCTTATCTTCGAGTCATGTCGTAGTAGTTGTGAAAAGAGAAAAGAATTCGCACGCTATGGTGGTCAATGCTGTGTGCATCGGGCTCGCTCTATGGAAAAGAATGAAAGAAATTCCGTAGCCGTAGCCAAACCATTATTCTTGCGATGGTCAAGTGGATCCATCGCCGCATCTATGGGGACTTTGTGTAGCTGCAAGATTCTTGCCCAATACATCATTGATCAACAACAACGGCTTCATGGACTTTGTAAGTGCATGGTGTGACTGCGCGTCTGACCTTTGGGTGGCTTTCTCACGAGTCACATAAGCCGACTAGATGGTTCTAGGAGACATGACCTCGGCTATACAGAAAAGGCTGCGACAAGAGGATGGATTTCACAAGGGTTTAGGAGCTTCGGGTTTCAAGGTTTAGGGTTACATGGGTGCTGTTGCCAAACGGTCGGCCCAGCCCTTAACTATCAGGAATACACGATCATAAGGACCTACAACAAGGACCGACATCTAGAACAACGCGCACAAGCAAAGCGAACAGTCATGCCAGCCTCCCAAAGTTCCTTCAACAGCCGGAATGCGGCACCTCCACGGGCGGATGTGCTTCTTCCTATTCTTGCGACGGCCACGCCCGCCCGGTATGGACAGGATGGGCCTGTTTTGCGCAACACTGCCTTCCATGGCTTGCGCCCTACGCCAGAACCTACAGGGGAAGTAAGTTGAGCCGTCGCGCTGCAACTTGGGAAGTGGCTTTACTGGATAAGCAGCAGGATGCGATGCCTTCAAGCGGTGATCGCCGATGCACTCAAGCCATCAGCCACGAATGACGACACAGCATGATTTTTTCTGCCAGCTCGCATGCATTCAATGTCATCACTGCCTGCTAACCCTCCCCTTGCAAGGCACTTCCACATCCAAGCAAGATCATGCCTTGACGCATCCGTTCACGCGTTCACACGGCCCATAGTACGTAGAACAGCACGCGGGCTTAGGGGAACTCAGGGCCAGTTCTGGTTTCTGCTTCTAGGTTGGGCTGGTGCTCGCGACGGTTCAGCGCTTGGCAAAAGTGCTTGCGAAAGCTTCCATAACAGCTGGGCCATCCCTTCTGCTTGACACAGAACTCCGGTGATGAATTTCGTCGCACAAACGTCGATCAGATGGGCCAGACAGTGGGGCAGGGCGGGGGGGCCAGGACTCTACTGCGCACCCATCGGGCACAGGTATCATCTTTGAATTCTACCATCCTCAGATGTGATCAGGCTGTGGGGCTTTTGTGCCTCGGGCTGCGGGTTTGGAGTTTAGGATTTCGGGACTAGGGTGTAGGGATTCGTTCGGGTTTAGGGTTTGGGGTTAGAGTTTCAAGTTTAGGGTTTTTGGTTCAGGTGCAAGCGTTTAGGTTTAAGTTCGGGCTGTTTAGGGATTAGGGTAGGGCCTTAGGGGGGGTTAGGGTGTAGGGTTTCGGGTTCATTCTACTGGCAAGGCACAGCTTCTGCCTCCACTCACGCAACTGGTTCTCGAAGAAGCTCTTGGATGTTGCTTCGTCGGCTTTCGGAGTGATGGGATCATCCTTCAGAGGCGGATAGCAAGCAAGAATGCATAAGTCCAAAAATGAGATCCGCTTTCTAAACCCCAAAATACGGTGGTCCTTGTTGTAGGGCTTCCCCTAATGACTGGAAACCCTCATGTCACATTGCAGCTGCAAGCACCTCACGGCGACCATGCTTGGCAAAGAAAGCTGACCAGGCACGGTAGGCACGGGTGTCCTGCGCAGCTTGACAGTTATATTTATAGTATCTATAAGTGATGCGACGGAGATAGCTGTAACTTGTCATTGTCTAGTTAACCCAGCTGAGAACACCTGTATCGCGAGCATCCTACTCCTAGCAACTAGCATTCCATGCCTTGACTATGCGGATCTGGTTGCGTCGGCGGAGGAGACGACCCTCATTCGGCGACGGAACCAAATCTTCATGTACTGTTCCCATCATGACTACTCCTCGACATTGGGTTCCGGTGGTAAACCAAAAAATCTGACTGTGGTGACATGTTGAGACGAGCACCACATCTGAGCCAATTGGCTCAATTAGGGTCCACGCAATCGGAGACTGAGCCATCGAACCCTGACCTGTAGACTCATAGCACACGCTTGAATAAGCTTCCTGAAAGAATACCCTCGAGCAAGAAGCTTGCCCTAACATCTCACCACGATGGTTGAGCCATAGCATAGATTCGGAGGAAAATGACCGATGATCGACTACCATCTTAATCACAAAAGCCAGCCTCCAGCCACGACAGCCACCGAAGACAGTGCCTTGGTGCATTGCGGTCAAACTGGACTTCAATGCAGGCAAAACCCCTAAACCCTAAACCCTAAACCCGAAACCCTAAGCCCTAAGCCCTTATAAGCCCTAAGCCCTAAGCCCTAAGCCCTAAGCCCTAAGCCCTAAGCCTAAGCGCTTCGTGAGGACGATATGGGCCCCGGACGAATACTGCACGAATCAGAATTTTTGGATGTAGCCCTTCTACAATCGCTACAGTAACACCACTATCAAGGAGCCTCCGCACGCCGGTGGGGATGCGCCTTCGGGCATGCGCAAACGCAAAGAATCCGAAAGGGAACTCAGGTATGGGTACTTAAACTACGATTAAACGCCCGATTCCTGTCCTTCACCGGCACTGTCACACCCGTAGAGACCTCAAGCCAGCTTCACATACTGACCATTGCAACCATGCGTGCCGCCACTGCGTGGCACTACCGCCCGAGCTCTCGGCCATATTGATCTTCAATGGCCCACGCCTCAAGTTTGCAACTTGTTGTCATTTGACGGCTGTCTGAAGGGGTAGTTGACTCTTCTTTCGAACACTTGAGCGGCCAGGGCTGCCGCAGACAAGGCGAAAAGAGCGCTGCAAACCCAAAAACCCTCTGCAACGCTGAGCACCACGTCTCAAGGGGGTTCACTGCTTCCCTTGTTCTTATGGAAGGGAGGGGTGTGACAACAGCATGGCCAGAGCAAGCTATCGCTTGGTTTCGGGATTAGGGTTTCGGGATTTAACATGCCAAGTGTTCTGCAGCATACAGGGTGAACAACTGGCAGACCAACACCCTTTGAGTGCCGCTTGGTGCGTTGTCTGTGAGCCCCTGCTCCAGCAAATGCTCGAGCTTGAGCATCATGCATCGTAGGCGCGTTTGGAGCTGTAGCTCCCGAAAGAAAAATCAAGCGCCTGTGATTGCTGCATCGTCTATGCAGCACAACCATCTCAGTCACGGCTAGGTTGTCCTTTTGCCTGCTGCGCGCATCGCTGAACGGCCTATGTGCAGGCAGGTGAAACAGGGGTCTGCTAGGGGGGAGAATATTTGAAATGGGATTCTGAGCCTCAGATCTCAGTCCGACTCATTCCTGTCAGTCCTGCGACTGCGACTCCCAGCCCTTCCGCCGCGCAGCCAGGGACCTGATGAAAGCAGCGTTGTGGGTTGGACTCTGGGGTTGAATGGTTGACGATGTTGCTTACGTGCTTTTCGCTGCACGCTGCTCTCCGGTGTCCGTCCCTGTTCCCAACCGCGCCGAGCTGCTGCGCGGTGCTGGACATGCAGTGGCCGGCCGGAGGAGAGACCTCCAACGTCCACGCAGAGCACAGAAGCACGGGAGCAACCCCCCCACTCCAGCCCAGCAAATCCGGACAGCCTTTCCACCAATTCCACCTTAGTCTGGGATTGAACCACAGGATATCACACCTGTGTGCACGCGAGAAAGAGAGCTGCACTCTTTTGAGGGGATCGGCCCAGCCAGTTTTCGTACTCCAGCTGGCGCTTGAACCTGAAGGGGGACAATTGATGAGATGAGTGTGTCGCCACAAGAGAGTCTGCGCTTGTGGAGATTTAGAGAGACCCGTTTGTTGGAGTAGCTGCGGGCGTCCTCCCAAGGCCCAGGCCACTCACAGTACTGCACCAACTGCAGGGCTTGGAAGCGCTCCGCTTCGAGGAGGAAGACTGGTCGTGGCGGCTCTATCTTTCGCGGCCCCATACTGAGCGCTGCAGCATATACCAGTGACACAGCTACAGGAAGCCCGTGGACCTCTTTCAGCCTCGTCCCCTTCATGTGTAAAGTGTGAAGTGGTTTGGGCAAGTCCTCATGCCTCGAGGGTGGCACCCTACCACCGAACCGAGATTTCCGACTCCTCGCCCCTCCTAAAATCCCTAAACCCCAGGCACTAGACCCTGAAACCTAGGGGGGAGGCTTCTTTTGTCTTCGGCTACTTTCCTCCGTCTCTTCCTTCCCAGGCCTTCCACGTTCTCCACGTCCACCAGGACGCTCAGGTGCTTCTCACACATCTGCTTCACCTCTCTGGCACGATCCTTCCCTCATCCCTGCTCCTCCCCAAGATCCACAGCACAAGCACGCAAACATTCAGAAAGACCGCAGCTTCAGGGCCGGGGTGACGACACAGTCTACGCAGAACTGGTCCGCTGCCCTCAGGAGGCCCATCAGGAAGCAAACCTCACACCGTCCCAAAGACGGAAGCACAAACAACTGGGAGGAGACTTCAAGAAAACTTTTGGATTCACTTCGGACTAGGTGGTGAGATGAGGTTGGGCCGGTCGCAGTGGCCGAGGTTCCTGCATCAGTTTGTTGTGCCTGGGAGACATGAAGTCTGCCGATGTACCTGGCCACGCAGTGCTACGCGGCTTCACGCTGCTCGCAACTTGCCGCAGCTCGCCGCAGTGCCGAATGAGGTCGCAGACTTGGGCCAAAGATGGGCCCCTGGGCTCGCCAGTTATTGCTTGCCTGTTGCGCTTGTGCTTGTTGTCGTTAGTCAGGAAGTGACACATTGTGGCAAGGTGTGTCTTTCACATTTCGGGCGAAGACTCGGCATCACAGGTGCGAGGAGGGAGGCTTTCTTCCGTGATCACACACATTCACAGTGACGGGGGCAGGGGGCCGGGGCGGGGCACAAGAACTCCAGTAATGAGTGGAAGGTCTCGTAGGACATGTCTTCGATAAGGATCTCGGGCTCGAAGCTCTCACGCATGCCGCAGGCAAACCTCCGCAGAGAGACTGCGGCAGAGACGCTTGCAGCGGCGTTAGCAAGGCATATTAGCTTATTCGCGTTAGCGCCTCTCTAAGAGTTGGGCGCAGAAGTGCACTCTCTGCTCAGGCGGCGGCGCTCGTCGGAAGTAGTCTGAGAAGAGTGTCAGAAGAATGCCTGGGACTGAGCACTTCAGACGGAAAGAACTTGAGGCCACCCACGGCCATGCTCTTTTGACATACAACCAATGGACCGAAGACTCCGACCAGGCTACGGGAACGGATGCACGCACACCCAGCACTAGGACCGCACAACGCAGCTCCTTGTAGACTACAAACAAAGGGACTGATGAAATTGCTGAGTTCCCAAGCGATGCGCGTAGATCCGTCGACCTGGCATCTTATTGCATCATTTTCCTGCCCGACACAACTTGGAGGATCAGCATACACGACCATGCGCAAGGCGCAAAGCCACGTCTGGTGGCCTTCAACAAGAAAACTCACGTCCGAGAACTCCTGTTTGTTGAGATACTCGCTCATGACCTGGCAATGCAAACCCGACTTGCCGTGCCACATCTCCTGCCAAATTGCCACATCTTGCCATATGGCACTTGCCACGTGACAAACTTGAAACGCAATGCGCACGCGACCCGCAACAGGCGGTGCGCAGCATGCGATCCGCAGACGGTGTGCCTCCATGTCTGGATGCCAACCGGGCGACACTGGGCGCCCGGGCTCTCCGAACGGAGTCGGCGCACACCGGTGGCGCTGCGACGTCGATGACAGGGGGGGCATCAGTGTCCAGGATGTACCACTTGCCCTTGCCATAGTACCTCTCCAGAATCTTCCAGAGGCGCGAAAGCGGCGCTGCGAGAGCATCTTGAGTCTTGAGGCTCACACATGTTGCGCCCAACTTGGATTACTTGGGGCACTGTGTTCCGCAGGCACCGCCGCTGATGAAAAGCCGCCGGTCCACGACCACGGCTACGTGCCCAGCTCTTCCTCGGCGAAATCAAAAGTCTACCCAGCTGAAACGGGAGGCCGTGGGCTGAACATGCTGAAACCTGAGGCCTGTGCGTGCCGGACCTATGCCTCGAAAAGGCTGAGCATCCGATTTCAGGGATCTCTGCTGCCCTCCCCTCCGACCACTCCGCTCCGACCACCCCGCGCTTCTTTCTGAGCTGCATGCGCTCGACGCTTTCCGACGGCGACTGGAGACAGAGGAACCAGGCCTGGAAATGCGCTGATGTGGACGCCGTGAGCAGAGCTTGGGCGCTCGTCTCACACGCGAAACTGTTTGCTCTTCTGAAACTTCGTGGGTTTCAGCCTGCTCCTCTGGGTCGTACACGTGGACGTCCTGCACCCACTTGAGGTGATTCAGAATATTTCAGTTCACCACCAAGCTTGACAGAGTTCGGTGGACGCTTGTGCCGGGGTGCTAGATTATGACTCGTTGCCGCTGAGACCCTGGCGTTGAAGCAGCGCGTGGTGTGGCCAGAGCCACCGAACAGGTACAAGCCTTTATAGGGGCTGATTCACATTGTCCATTATTGTGAGAACCCGTGAAGCCATGAGATGCCTTGAGAATTCTGTTTTCAGTTTCTCAGTGGAAGAGTGAGAGAGTGGGCCCCGGGCAGTCACGGATGATGGAGAGCGTCATCCCGGCGCGGGCCTGTGCCGCAGCGGTGCCACTCAAACGTAAGCGCATGGACTCTGCGTCTAAGACACGGACGGAAAGAAAGTGAAAGAGAGAGGGAACATGCCTGGGGAGAATAGCCCGTGGGCTTCAGCATGGTCCACACGCCGTCCCGGTTGTCCTGGTGTGACGCAGGACGCAGCAGTTGCATGCTGTTATATCTTGTTACGTTCTCTTGCCGCTTGCCCCACTTGCAGTAAGCTGTTGCTGACCCCAAACGTCATGTCCTAAACACCCCTGTAACATCCTTCTATTACACCAAAACCATCCAAAGCCCAAAGCACCCGACTCCTACACAATGAATCCCAACAACGCAAACCTGCCTCCCAAAACCCAAGATCCAAAACACAATCCCTAAACCAAAGGCGGCCCACAAATATTGTCACCTCAACCATTCTTCCCCTATGAGGTCTAGAGAGCGTCAGCAGACGCCTGACAAAGACTCGCATCAGGGCCCAAATCTTCATGAGTGTACCATTTGCCCCCCCACCCCCCACCCCTCCCTTCCCTTCCCCCCCCCCCCCCCCCCCCCCGGTCGAAGCGCGTTTCGGGTCCGCCCGATCGTGGACGGGGGTGTGCGTTTCAGGTGCGCCGTGCATGGCCGCGGGGGTGCGTTTCAGGCTCTGCTGGAATGCGTTTCGTACAGGCCAAGGTGCGTTTCAGGTCCGGCACCACCATGACATGAAAGCCACAAGTCCGAAGCCCCTCAAGCCACCCGCTACAAGCCATGTCAGGCCGCGTTCAGGTTTACAGGGCTTATTGTATTTATAGGGTCCAGGACTTATAGGGTTTAGGATTTAGGGGTTTACGCTTGAGTGTGCTGACGCTGTTCACGAACGAAGGTGATGCCCTACAACCCAAACCCGAACCCTAGACGCTAAACCCAAAACCCCAAAGCCTGAAGGCCTCATCCCAACCCTAAACCCTAAACCCTAAACCGAAAAAACCGTAAACCCGAAACCCTAAACCCTAAACCCTAAAACCCTAAACCCTACCTGGGAAACCCAAACCCTACAGAATTTTAGTAGTTTCAACTAAAACTGGTTTTACCCAGTGGATGGCGGAAAACCCCCGAAATGGCGGAAATAGCTGTTTCAGGGTGTGGTGGGCGAGAATTGGGATTGAAGTTTTTTGACAAAGGGTTCTTTGGAAGATGCCTTTTTTCAGTCCTGTGATTGCGTTTGTCATTTTCTGAGATAGCGATTTTCTATGTTTCGTGGGTGGTAGGTTGATGCTCCTGCGACGGCGCGCAGAGCATGTACGATGTCTCGATGAGCGCACCAACGAAGATCGACCTACAAACCTACAAAACTTAAACCCTTAATGCTATGGACGCTAAACCCTAAGACGCTAAAACCAACACTGAACTGTGACCACGGTGCAGAGCATGTATGATGCCTCGTAGGCAAGCCAAATCCTTGTGTAGACGCTTTAACCCAAGCCCTAAACCCTAAAGAGAGCTCTTGCCATAGCTCCCTGACTGTGCTTCGAAGATCGGCTACTCTCCAATCCCACCACCCTATAAAACCTTCAAAGCCGAGGCCCTTATCACTAGACCTTAAACTTAAGCCTTAAACCCTACAACCCTAAACCCTGAATAGTAAACCCTAAACCCTAAGCTCGACACACTGAACTTGCGCGCGAAGGCTCCACCGGGGGGGAGGGGGCGGTAGGCGGGCAGGGAGCGGGGGCGGAGGGGAACAGAGAGGGCGGGGGGAGGGCGGAGGCGGAGGGCAATTTTTCAGAGCTCAAATAGCGTTTTTTGAAAACCATCGGGAAAAAGAGATGGCGGAAATAGGCGGCGAGATGGCGGAAATCGGCGGTCAAATGGCGGAAAACGCCGGAATGCGATTCTTTCGGGCCAGCCTGAAGTTTCAGTTTTTCGGTTTTGAAATGGCAGAAATCCCGGGAGAGGCCGCAAACTTCGAGACATCAGCTGCATGCTGTCTGCCAGCTTGCTCGAGGGTTTAGGCACTATGGTCCATTTGGCTGCAAGTATACGGGTTTGAGGAGCCTGTGTGGCGCGGATGAGGTTCCGGGTGTTAGAAGGGTTTATGTTTAAGGTCTACTGGGTTTGTGTTCATTGAGGTGTTGAGCCGTTGATCCAGGTTTGGTTTCGCTTCTACCGCGCTTCTGGAAGCTTATAACGGGACACACTCTGAAACGCTACAGCCCGTGCGAAAACTCGGTGCTTGGGAGCAGTGCAGTGCATGAACATCATGCCCCCAAAATGCAACTGCAGCCCACACAAGCCCTCAACCAATGGGATGCTCCGAGGCTTCGATGGGGTGTCATGAGTGAGGTTTCAGGTCAAGGTATTGCCAGAGTTCAGGCTGAGTTTCTGGCCCTGTAAAATTTTTGTAACCAAGTCCAGGATCAAGGCCACAGAACCGGGCCAAACCAACATGGCCAAATGCAAGTTTTTAAAATCTGAAATGCCGTTTTTTGTTCTTGACATTCCGTTTTTTCGCAAGAACCCACCACACAACATTTCAGTTTTTGCCTGGCAACCCTGAAAGCCAAAAACTTCAACATTTCAATTTTCCCAGGAGATGGCGGAAATGTTGCAATTTCCTCCTCATGGCGTTTTTTTTGAGACCCAGGGCTTGCTAGGTAAACCCTAAACCGTAAACCCTAAACCCTAAACCCGAAACCCTAAACCCTAAAACCCTAAAACCTAAACCCTACACCCTAAACCGTAAACCCTAAACCGTAAACCCTAAACCCTAAACCCTAAACCCGATCGAAACCCTAAACCCGAAACCCTACACCCTAAAACCTAAACCCTCAACCCTAAACCCCAAGCACCGCGCCTGAAATGCACCATGTGTGCGTCTGAAATGCCCCGGCATGGTTCTGAATTGTCTCCCGTCGGGATCCCGAACACCGGGCCTGAAATTCGGACCTGAAATGAACCCAGGTGCGTCAGAAACGTACAACGCTCCCCCCCCCCCCCGCCCCCCCGCCGGCCCCTTTGGATCGTGACTCGCTTGTACCAACAGCCCCGCCCACTGGGCCCTGCAACCCTCAGAAGCTTCCAGACATGCTAGCACTTGGCATGGAGAAGCTCATTCTGGGCGTGGTGCCAGCACGTAGAGATCGTTCAGCCGCTTGGTACCATCCCACCCACCAAAGATGTAGAGCCTGGCGAAGGATTAGGGACTAGACTTCCAGCGAAAGTTTGGGAGCTTTACTTGGGTCCTGGAGAGGGTGCCTTTTGACAGCTACCTCCTTCCGTGTGTTGCAATTTGAAACAGCGCCTGTAGTCGTCCACCGCTGAGGCATGGTTCGCTCTTGGAGGCGGCTGCTCGCCCGAGGTCTTCACAGAAAACCTCTGCATTCGCTCAGACGAGGCTGCCGGGCGGCGGTAGCAACAAGTGCAATGCGATGCAATATCAAATCGAAATTCCAGCGCTTTTTGAGGCCGAGTCCAACTGTTGCTATCCAGGTCGAGGCCGTGCAGATCGTTCAGATATCTGGGCGTTTGTGCTTTGAAAGACGAGAGGTTAAGATGGAAGGAGAGAGGGCATAATCACTCTCCGATCGCTCTGCACACCAGATGCTGCCACTGATGAGAAATATGCTGGGATCTGCCGAGCCGACGCGCGACCGTCACCGCCGCGGAAGACCAAGAGCTTCTGGCCAACGAGGTCCGCTGTGTGCATGTTGCATGGACCAGGCCTCCGTCTCCCCCGTTTTTACACCATCCAACGTTATGAATGCTTAGCTTATGACCGTGCAGCCAGTTTGCTCTAGAAATGCCTTTCAAGTTATCATCTTCTCCCTTTCTTTTTTTCGTTTTTCTTTGTTTCTTGCTTTCTTTCTCTCTTTTTTTTCTTTCGTGGGGCTAGGGAATTCGCCCACCCCTGTTACCAATAGTGTGGGTAGTTAGGGGCATTTGCACTCTGGTTCGGGAATGAAGGCCACAGGGCGGCATGTCGCATAGCCTGAGGGAACACCGAATGGGAAGCGGGGGCCTCAGATAACCCTAACCAAGACCCAAAAAGGGCAGGGGGGGCGTGTTGTTTCAACGCCGTTCGGCAGCCTGCCCCTTGGCAGCAGTGAATGCGTTTCGAAAGGGTGGCTCTTACTTTATTCGGGCCGTGAGTCCCTTCCCCCCCAACAATTCCGGGTGTTCCTCTCTCTCCTCTTCTTCTGCTCTCTCTTCTTTTTATTCTTCTTCTTCTTCTTATTCTTCTTCTTCTTCTGATTCTTCTTGTCTTCATCTTCTTCTTCTTTCCTTTTCCTTCCTCTCTTCTTCTTCCTTCTTTTTTTCCTCTTCTTCTCTCTTCTTCTTCCTCTCTCTCCTCTTCTTCTGCTCTCTCTTCTTTTTATTCTTCTTCTTCTTCTTATTCTTCTTCTTCTTCTTATTCTTCTTCTTCTTCATCTTCTTCTTCTTCTTCTTTCCTCTTCTTCTTCTTCTTCTTTCCTCTTCTTCTTCTTCTTCTTCTTCTTCTTTCCTCTTATTCTTCTTCTTCTTCTTCTTATTTCCTCTTCTTCTTCTTCTTCTTCTTCTTCTTCTTCTTTCCTCTTCTTCTTCTTCTTCTTTCCTCTTCTTCTTCTTCTTCTTTCCTCTTCTTCTTCTTCTTCTTCTTTCCTCTTCTTCTTCTTCTTCTTCTTCTTCTTCTTCTTCTTCTTTCCTCTTCTTCTTCTTCTTCTTCTTCTTCTTCTTCGCGTTTTTCCTCTTCGTTTTAGGGCTCCCGAAGGGACCCGGCCTCGACGGCCAAACGGTCGTCTCTCTTTCTCTCGTCCAATCTTTCCCATCGAGATTTCACTCAACTTCCCTGTGCCACTTGCATGCTGGTGCAGCGAAGACAACAAAGAACGTGTGCTGATGTCTGTACAAACGAGCGTGTGCTGCGCGACGCAGAGTGTGCAGCCCAGAGTGCGCAGCAAGCACGCGAGACCACGTGCGTTTGCTGACAACGCCTACACCTTCAAACCCAGATGTTTTGCACGTAAGTTGCAAAAGAGTCTAAGATTTGGAACTAAACTAATCTGAACAAAAAAGATACATTTTTCTTATTCAAGAAAACCCCAAGACACTCAAATAGAACAAACGAACGTTTCTCCCTTTCTAGCACCATAACTTGGCCTTTTTTGGTACTTTTATAACCATAAACTGACCATGAAAAGGCTGTGACTTCTGAGCTCAGCTGGGCCCCCGCGCGGCTCTCCCGTGAAACGGGGCGGCACCCACTTCAAGGGCTCCAGGTTCAGCAGGTGCATGTCACCTGGCAATCCCAAGGCATTCGACAGATTCCTCGTGTACGATCTCGGGTTATCCAGAATCTGAGAATCCAAAAGTCGAATCTCGCAGAGTTTTTTGGACAAACTGAAAGGAGACGTGTGACATAATGGGTTGTTCTGCCATGACATCTCATCCTTCCCTCTGCACTTAGACAAAAGGTGAAGCCCTGGGCTTACTCGCCACAAGATGCCACAAGGGCCAACCGCTTCGGCCAGAGCAACCGCGAGTGCTTGGGGCAAACCTCTTCAACATCCTCCGGTTCTCAGTCCTACTGTCTCCCGGCATACGAGACAAGGCCCGAGACTTGAGCAATTGAGTTTCTCAAGTCATTGCTTCGCATTTTGGGCCATGTCCCTTAGCCCTTGCCAACAGGGCGCTCGGCGAGGCCACTGGACAAACATCAAAGTTGCACGAACTGCCATGGCGGGCCGCACAAGTCTGCTCGCTCTGAGAACACTATGACCACTCGATCGCCCAGAGAAGCCCGGCAAGATTCCGGCAGAATTGACAAGTGACAAGAGACCGCAGCGGTTGGAGGTGGGCCGCACAATGCTGCACAGCCGCATCAACACAACAACTATCCAGAGTGCAGAGCTCCGAATTCACTGGCCCCTTTGCCTGCGGCAAGTGGCCCGTTGCCCAACCAGCCACCGAGGATTAGAATCTGCGACCCTCCTGCTAAAAGGGTCGCAGAATGGCCGTTCCTCGCAGTACGGTGTGCAAACCACGCAAGCCACCAGCGAAACTGCGAAGCTAGCCAGTGCAGCAGCAACATTTCTGCAACCAGCGTCCTTCCACTGGGCTTCTGTCCGCCAACCGAGGGTTGCCGCCACCTAATTTCGGAATGATTCACAGAACTCACAGAGTGGCTCAGCTCACAGAGTCAGATACCCAGAGACCCGGCTCAATGTTACACCCCCCCCCCCCCCCCCGAAAATGGGACCCAGTTTCCCGAACAGATACAAATATCAGCTACGACATCTCCCCGCCCCCGCCACAGCCGGCAGCAAAGAGGGCCCCAGGCTCCATCGACTGCAAGTCGAAGACGTACAACCTGTCACACATCGTGAACAGACACGAAAAACCATAAATGCTTGCTGCTTGGGCCCAGGAGCTCATTGTGGTTCTTCTGGCCGTCATAGCCTCCGAAAACGTAGACCTGATGGAGAAGCGGCAGGCAACGGCAGGAAGGCGTACCTTCTTTTGCGTCTTGCGCCTCACTTCCCACAGGTGTGGCAGTGTGGTTCCTGCGATGGAGAGCCCAATTCCGACAACAGCCACCGAGTCTAAGCAGGAGACACAAATCAAAGGAATTGAAGAAGCATGACTGGACTGACCGGGCGCCGGGCTTCGTCGATGGAATCTCCTCCGATTTTGACTGTGGTCACAAACCCAGTACGGAGACATCTGGGAATTTCGTGGGGGTTCCCCTACAGTAATGGTCGCCGCTCCACGATGTGGCGGAGGCGACGCAAAGAGGACAGCACCGGGAATTGCAAAAGTGCATTTAACTTTAACGAAAGACGAGAACAACATAAACTCACATAAACTCCATGGCAGCCTTCAGAACTTCAAGTGCGGAAAAGCGGCCAAAAGCTCCAGGGGAACTGATGAGTGCACCGACCAGGAGGTGTGGTGGCATGAGAAGACCTGGCAAACAAACAGAACATCTGCCATAAAATCTGCCATGCCAAGATGCTAAGGCGAAGGTTTCCTTGGCACAGCTACTGCCAGCATCTGCCCCAGAATCAGCGCTGCCATCTTGCAAGTTCACCGACATCCTTAGCTGAGATCTCACACCATCTCAATGCATCATCTTCTGAAAGCGTGTCTAAGAGGTCTAAGAAGTTCGTTAACATTGGGGCCCCGGCCGAGGTCGAGCATCCGGATCCAGTTCGGCCAGAACTCGCCCACAAACAGTTTAAGGAAGTTCTTTAGGGGGCGCCGGCTCTTGGGAATCTACGTGGGGATCTCTGCGAATGCGGCGGTGTTTCAAGTTCGCGGCCTGCGTCCTTGACAGCTACTGCGTTGCATTGGGCTCAAGCATGCTGATGACTCGTGGTAGGGAGCTTTGCAAAGCTTCGCAAATGGGTGTATGGACTAATTAGACTCTTCCTCCTATAGACTACAATATGATACCAGGTATGGAGCAGCTTTGCTGTACTACTGAAATCATCTCTGTTTGAAGCTCGGCGGCTACAGAGAGCGGCCATGGCACCAGGGCGAGATCCCAAACTCCCTTTACAAAGATTTGACAAATGCAGCAAACATTCAAGCAAAACATGCGCTGCGTAATCCGCCGAGGCCTCGGGCCGAAGGTGTACAGGCTGTGAGAACAGGCACCCCCCTCCAAATCCTCCCCCCAGACGCAAAACCCTTTTTCCGACCCCTTTTTTTGGTCCGGCGTGAGTACCCCCGTAGTCGAACTGTATCCAGCCGCGGCCGACGTGCCCGGACCAGGGGGGATTTGGGCCCGGGTTTAGGGAGCGGATGCAAAAATCCTCACCCCCCCAGGGAGGCCACGAAGACGACACGGTCAAGGGAGGGGGGTCGGAACATGTTGCTGGGGGCGCGGACGGACCATGCATGGATGTGCGGTTGACGGACGGGTTCGGGGGGGCAAGGAGGGGGGAGCGGATGGGGAGCGTGACTCATTCGGTTCAGTGTGTGATGTACTCGGTTGAAGGGGTGGTTACCTGCCCTCCGCGCCCTCCGCGCCCTCCGCGCCTGCGCCCACCGCGCCCACCGCGCCCACCGCGCCCTCCGCGCCCTCCGCGCCCGCGCCCTAACCGAGCACTCCGCGCCCTGCGCGCCCTATCCTGCGCCCTTCCTTGAGCCACCCTCCGCGGCCCTCCGCCGCCCTCCTCGCTTGCGCGCCCTGGCATCGACTTTCGTGTCCACCCTGTCTCACCCCCCCCCCCCCCCCCACCCCCTGAGATGTAACCTGGGCGTGCAGACCCTCGCCTAATGCGTACAGGCCTACAGGCAACACAGGAGTCTCTTGTCTACAGGCACACAGCTGTAGTCAGACTGCTAGGCTAGAACCTTGAGCAGCAAGCATGGAAACATGCATTGTGACAAGTGAGACTGTCAAGCACCTGGATGTGTAACATCAGTGTTTCAACCAGGCACAAATTTACAAAACACTTGAAACTGCATGGCCGTGATATCGGCTTTCAGCTTGCCTTATGCTCAAGAGAATTAGAACTGCGGAGTCATATGAGCTACACTGCGGCTTGGTGAAAAACAAAGCTGTACAATACTTCTGCCTGGAGACAGTATATGAAAGCAGAAACGTCACACGCAACAGAAACTACCAGATCTTCAGCTCAGATTCAAAAATCGGAAAAGAATGCTTTTGCCCACTACATCAGAAATCAGTTACCTCTCCAGAAGGAAAGCTTGCTGTGAAATCTGTTTTTGGTGAAGTTTCACTCCACCTGTGATGTCTCTAGCGTGACATCTGATCGATCAGTGAACCTTGGCTGCTTGGTTCCTGTCGATGAGTATTTGCTCAAAAAGAGAAACACTCCTTGCTACTTCAGGCACATAAGGCATTAGAAGTATCTCTTCTGAAGAAGAGTCTCTTCAAAGGAAAAGCACAACACATAAATGTATGTACTGAAGGATTACTTCTCAAAAGAGAAGCCTTCCTGTGTGGTGACATTGCCACTCACTTCTTCCCTTTGCCTTTGGTCTTGCCCTTGCCGTAGCCAACGTAGTGACCTTTCTGAAAGGGCATGGTATGAAGGATGTGTGGCTACAGGAAAGAATCGACACAGCTCCCTACGAAGAAACATGGAAGCAACTCACGGAAAGACAAGTTTAAATAGTTGGAGCAGGTAGACAAGGCGGGCTTCAATTCGTGAGTATTGCGCGGGTGCGCAGGTGAGTGGGGGGGGGGTGCGTGGGGAGGGGGGTGCGTGGGGGTGCATGGTGGGTGGGAGTGCGTGGGGGGCGGGTGCGTGGGTGGGTGGGCAGGCGGGCGGGCGGGCGGGTGCGTGGGCGGGTGTGCGGGTGTGTGGGTGTGTGGGTGTTGGGTGTGTGGAGTGAGGGCGCATATGTGCAAAACCTGTTTGCAAAGGTTCTCTCTTTTCATGTGCAGGTGACAGGGTATACGTCAGCCGATACCTTGCAACACAACATGCTTTTCCTTGACTTGCGGGCGCCTGTAAAGTCCCAGCGGTGGATGCTGGAAAGCACCTATAAATGCCAGACGCTTCCAAAAACAGCTGGGGCAGTCAGATCCGATTTCTAAACTGAGGCCCTGGACAGTGCGGGCCGCAGCCCTGGACAATGCATCCACGATGAAGCACTGGCAGACCTGCCAGCGCTGAAACTCGAAGACAAAAAAAGCAGGACCTTCAAATAATTTTGAATCACGCCAGTGCGGCGACCGGTCGCGCTGGAAGGAACTCTGGGAGTGTTGGGGGCAGCCGTCTATCAACCACCTGCGTGGAAGACCCTGCTGTTGCATGTCTTGTTCATTACGACAACACGCGCATAAAGCCTTGGCGATGAGCTGCTCCGGGTTTCGGCACTCGGCATGCGGCCGTGGTCCCCCGAGTGCTTCATTGAGCACGCAACCTCAATGTGTATACGACCAACAATGAAATGGCTGGACAGCAATGTGACGCAGTCAAGGCAGTTGCCCAGCGACCACACATCCGCCTCGATGTCGCGAAAGCAGTCGCGCAAAGCTTTCCCAGCAGCACTGCTGCCCCGAAATCTACAAAGTGCGGCCTTCTCTGTCACCTTACTTTCTGGCCTTGGAATAGCGCTCTGAGACGCTGGACAGCAAGTCTAGAGAGGTTATAGGCCACCCACGCCAGATACGGTAGGGTGCCTCCGCATGGCTCGATGCAGTCGTCGACCATGAACCTCAGCAAATCGGCGTGCGAAGCGGGACGGAGAAGTCATTATCCAAACTGGCTGAAGCAGTCTGAGGTTCTGGCTGAAACGTCCCAAAATCGCACAGTTTGGCATTGTACATGGTCCAGAACGACGTTTGCCCTGAGCATTCGTATCAGTGCACGGGCTGCTCGGCAGTAGCACAACGTCGACAAACCAGCGGTGTGGTCAAGAAAAAACCGAGAACCTTACTCCAATTTCTTCGACTCCTTTTTGGAACAAAGAGCCCTAAGACAAACTTCCAACATGAATCTGATTGGTAGACCTTTCTGAAAAACAAAATGCCCATGCGCCCGACTGCTGACACATCTCCTAATGACGTAGATGTTGCAACCTCTGGCTGAGCCCGGTTTTAACCGCCACCAGAGCAGGATACATTGGGGCACCGCCGCATCGTGGTCCAACCCATGTCAGGGCAATTCAATCAAGAATTATTCAAGGTATCCTGTTGAATGACAGACACCGGAGCAACGTGATCTATGTACCTCGACACTCCAAACTCCACACCCCGCACTGCACACTCTACACTCCACAACGCACTTCCACACTCCACACTTTACACTAGAAACTGCAACCCTGAACGTTCGACACTTCAACGCTCCACTTTGGAAACCCATGGTGCTTCACGTACTGCAACACTACTGTTCCGTTTAGTACCATATTTTCATACTCCGACGCGATGCTCGGCAGGACAGAGCAGGTCAATGCTAAAACTTGCGTGCGGCTTGCATGGCAGAAGAGCACGCCTGTGGCACGGACGTGGCAGCACCCTCTTGCACTTTCAGTCTGCACCCACTTCGCCCAGCTTGGCGACGCCCTGAGAACATTGCCACCTGAGGAACGATCTGTCGACGCAGCTCCAGGCGCCAGTCGAAGCCTGAAGGTCTGCAGCCCTCTAACCTTAACCCTTCCAGCCTCCTTGCACCAAGTGAACCCACAGGGCAAGAAACCCCAAACAAATCCCAAAAAACTAAAAAACACGACAGGCTCACCCAGCATAGCAAGCCCCAACTTCAATCTGGGGTCGGCGGCACTGGCGGTAGCCATTAAATCGGGCAGCGCGAGGTCCCCAAAGGACCGAGCAAATGCGGACCTTTTAGCCCGGGTCGTCCCGGGAATAGCCTTGCTGGCCTCTGGCCTTCTGCGAAGCAGAATTTCAGGCCTAGCGGCACGGGCCGGCCCCCGCCCCCCAAAGCACGAAACCTTGAACCTTGGCACTGTCTTCTCTTTCCCGTGTCTTTGTCCTCTCCTTCTCTCTGTCTCTCTTTCTCCTGCCTTCGCCCCCCCTCCCCCCCCCCCCTCCCCCCCCCCCCGCGCGCGCGCGCGCGCGCGCGCGCGCGCACCCGCATCAGGAGCATCAGTGGGGTTGGTTTGGGGGCCTTAAAAGCATTCTATGCATGCGTTTTGCCTTCGAAAAACCTTCAGAAAACGCTGTAAACACGTGTTTTTGGGCTTGGGAAGCCTTTTGGGACCCAGGAAAGGGAGCATCATGAGCATCAGCGGCCTCCCCCAGGCCATCCAAAACCCCCTTAAACACGCCGATTGTATGTGCTTGAACGCTTGCGTGCCCACGAAACCCCCAAAGCAAGACCCCGAATGCCCTTAAGGGCATTCGGGGTCCTGCTGTTCGGGTGTTTTGTAGGCACGAAGCCGTTCGAGCGCGTAAAATGAGCGATTTTAGGGGCGTTTTTACGTGGACCCACAAAACACTCGGTATTTACGAGGTTTTCTGCTGTTGGAACACCCCCCCAAACCGAGCATCATGAGCATCAGCTGGGTCTCTGGGCCGTGGGCCCGGACCCCCCCACGAAGCCCAAGAGAAGCGATGGCTCGATGATGCGCCCGGACCCCGCGCATCAGCAGCATCAG